GGGGGTGGGGGGTCAGCTCTGGACTGGGTGCAGCCACCAGGGAGGTCCCTTTAGAAGGCAAATGGTCAGTACATGGGACCTCTTTCAGTCTGAGGCCTCCCGTGGGCCCAGGTGAAGCCTCCCACTTGCCAAGGGAGACAGCTGCGTCCGTTGAGTAGGCTTTGAGTGGTCTGGAAGGGGCTTGGAGATGTCCCAAAGACAGAGTGCCTTATTCCCATTTTGCTTGCAATGTTTGATTTATTCTCATTCTGCACGTGCTGGTCATTCCCAGGGACATGGGAGTTTGGCTCCCTTCCCTTCCACAGGGGGAACCTGGGTGCCCAGCTGTAACGGGTCTGCTGCAAGCATGAGGGTAGGAGGAGTCGTCGGGGCTGATGGCATGGTCTCGGGGCCGAATGAGCAGGTACCCAGCCACTGACACGAGCTGGGTTTGCCAGGGGCCTCTGCACTTCAGCGGAGCGCTGTCTGAGCTTCCAGCTGGGGAAGCTGAAACTTGCCAGGCACCGTAGGGTGTCCTTGTCCAGCCACATACGGCGCATGAAGAAAACACGGTGGGTGGAAATGCAAGACGTGACCAAACCGGGAGGTATGAAGTAATTCCGGGGGGCGCCTGATGCCACGGGCCAGCGCGCCAAGCCCGTCCCTGTGATCAGGAAACTTGCGGTAGAGTGTAAGGAGCTCAAGACAAACTCACAGCCACGACCTGGGACGAACCTCGCTAGGGCCCCAGGGTGGGGTTTCTAAATGTTGCCAAACGCATCCTAAGCAAGATGGGGTGTGAAGGCTCCGAGAAGAGGCTGGCCCGCCGCCGGAGCCCCGAAAGGAGGAAGCCGCGGGCTACTTGAACATTGCACCTGACGCCCCCAGAGCTCATGCGCACTGGAATGCGGGGCATTTACTACGGATGGATAAAAAGGGATTAAAAAGGCGAGGACTGAACATCACCCCACGCCTCCCTGGCCCGCGGGAAGCGCGGAGTTGTGCAAATATACCACCCTCTGAAGCCCCAGTATGCACAGCCTGCTTTCCCTGCTTCTCACCTGGATGTTCTGGGCCCCAAACCAGGTTTAGGATGGGAGTTGCTAACAGTTTGGGGATTTTCAAATGGTCCTTGTGGTCAGAAATTACTTGGGAGGATTTGGGTGTGCTGTGTGCAAAGGGGAGAAGGTGCTCGAGCAGCATTTGCAGAAGAGGCGGCTTCTTACACTTGAAAGACCTAAAACCCCTTAGAGGTTAGCGCCACGGCGGCAGGCGGGACCGAGAACAGCTCCAGCGACGCAAGAACGTAATCTAGTCACATCTAGAAAAATTTAAATTATTTAAATTTGAACGAGTCCACAGAAATAAAAGGCACACATTGCAAGGCTGTATGTACATGGATGTTTATTGTTTGCAGTGGCAAAAAACTGAGGCTACCTGAAGGTCCGTCAACAGGAAGCAATGGAATCAACCAGGGTCCATCTGGACTATGGAGTATTAATTACACAGCAATCTAAAAGGACAATTGTCGTTAGCTAACCAGCTAACTGTTGAACTGGAAAGAGTTTCATGATGCAGCATTAAGTTACAGAGGCAAATTGCTGAGGGATAAATGTGATATGTACAATTACCGTATTTTTAAAAGGAGAAATCAATTTTTTTTAAAAGAAACCCTCCCTTATATACCTAAGCACAGTGAAAACGGGGAGGCTACAGATCAGGCAGGAAGGAGGGGGTGGGTTGGGGGAGGCAAGAACTAAAACATCATAGAAAAATGAAAAAAGCATCGAATAAAGTTCTATAAAATAAAGAGACTATTTGGAATATGAAAGCTCATCTATAGTACTATTGCAAATATGTACATTTGTATATGCAAATGGGGAAGGCCTAGGAGGTAAGAGGGCAGACTGAAAACTCTGACTTGATCAGATACTGGGATGGGGGCAACGTGGTGTTCTGGATTTCTATTGTAATTTGAATGTCACTTTTATAATGAACACATTTTGAAAAGTCAACACTTGGAGGGGACAAGAAAGCAAGGGTTGATGAAGTTATTCACCTTTAAAACGTCCGTATCAAGAATAATTCAGACGTCCCTCACAATGTCCTGCACATAGTAGGCGCTCGGCCACCTTTGGCTAACGTGAGAAACCAGACTCACACAGCCTCCCCTGGACCTCATAATTTGTAAACAGCGTCAAGGATGCTCAAGCACGTGTAGTCTCAGTTAAAGCTTCATGATTAATTTGGCATTTGAATCACCATATACAAATGTCCTTCATGCCCCACTTAAATCTGGTTTCTGGAACTGTTAATGAAATGAGAAAAGACAGCAATTATAGAAAATGTACTATATCATTGCCTGTTTGCCTAAGAAATGAAGTCATTTTGCTTATGTGGCTGTGTGTGCCCTTTTGGTTAAACTCAGCAGAGCTGGACTGAAATTTCAACATCAGCTTACAGGTAGTTGTCTTTCTTTCTTTTTTTTTAATTTAATTTTTATTTATTTAATTGACAGAGAGAGAGAGAGACAGACAGCGTGAGAGGGAACAAAAGCAGGGGAAGTGGGAGAGGGAGAAGGAGACTTCCCGCCGAGCAGGGAGCCTGATGCGGGGCTCAATCCCAGGATCATGACCTGAGCCGAAGGCAGACGCTTAACGACTGAGCCACCCAGGTGCCCCAGTAGTTTTTCTTTCTTTTTCTCTTTCTTTCTTTCCTTCTTTTTCTTTCTTTCTTTCTTTCTTTCTTCCTTCCTTTCTTTCTTTCTTTCTTTCTTTCTTTCTTTCTTTCTTTCTTTCTTTCTTTCTTTTTCTTTCTTCTTTCTCCCCCAGTCTTTCTTGCTATTGCTATTGTTTAAAAAATAAAAATAAAAGACTGACTTGCAAGAAATAACCTCTACAGGGTCTGTACTTTTATCCTGGGCTCTGCTCAAGAATTCAGCAGGACCATGGAAGTGGAAGGTGAGGGCAGTGCTGGCAGCCTGAGGACTAAGACCTTCTGGCATCCTCCATCCCATCCTCCTCCAGCACTGATCCAGTGCAGGGTGGCCCCCAGGCTCCTTGGGGAAGGCCGTTACCCTGGGCTGCCCTGCCCCCAAGTCCTTCACTGGCCTTCTCTGTTAGAACCTTCCAAAAGTATCCTTGAGAAGAATGCTGATAGCAGTGGAGGCTCAGAACAAGAGGTACCATTATCAACATTCATGTTTTAAAATACTTAGGATAAACTGAGAATGTACATTCCCCCCCCCCCCCTTTACGGACTCTCTTTAAAGGAGAATTGATAATAGTCAGCAGCTAGTGCATCCAAATATGGTTCAACAATTCCTGGGAGTCTCTAAGAGTATCCCAGAGGACCTGTGGGGACATCTTAGAGCATTAGATTCATTATTTGTATTTAAGCCGTATTCATATTTTGTAATATATATTTAACTAATAAGAGGTAGATACTAAGTGCCATATCTACCCTTGCTTATGGTATGAATGAGTGAATTCTTTGTTCGGTCTCCCTAAAGACACGGTTTCTTTTGAAACTTTTTGGCAAGGAATTATTCTTTTTTAAATTTTTTTTTAAGATTTTATTTATTTATTTGAGAGAGAGAATGAGACAGAGAGAGAGAGCATGAGAGGGGGGAGGATCAGAGGGAGAAGCAGACTCCCTGCTGAGCAGGGAGTCCGATGCGGGACTCGATCCTGGGACTCCAGGATCATGACCTGAGCCGAAGGCAGTCGCTTAACCAACTGAGCCACCCAGGCGCCCGGAATTATTCTTTTATAGTGATAAGTGGTTCACAGAAATGACAGCCCCACCCCAACACGGTGGTTAAAAGAACAGCTGGAGATCGGCCACCGGACCCGTGTAAAGGGAGTATGGTTAGAGACTCTCATGTGCATGTACATAAAAAGATGCCCCTATAGCACTAAGGGAACATTGCAAAGCAAATGTGTCATTTAAAAATATTTTCTCAAATCCAGGTGATATTTCAGAGAGAGGAAGAGCGAACACTTATCCTTCTGGTGAAAGAAATCTTTGTGCCCTAGACACATCCTGCTGTGGAAATGGTCTGCTCTGGGAGTTCAGCCTGGCAAGATCGCCTTACGCCGTGATTTCTGGGCCTTTGTCTCGCTTTACCTCTATGATCGTTTACTCCCTTTATTGTATCTTAGCTTCATCAGAAGAATTAAATACAACCTGCCTGGAACAAGGTATCAGGATCCATGGCCATCAGCTCAGGCGGAAATCTGGGTTTGGATTTGGGCCTGGCAAGCCGTAAAGGACTCACAAGGCAGCTCTGGGATTGCACAGAATGGAAGATCTGGGGTTGGACAAGCCAGGATTGCATTCTGGTTCGGCTACTTTCTAGCCACCTCACCTCTTGGAGCCTCAGTTTCCTTGTCTACACAGTGGGAAGAACCCCTGTCTCTAGGAGGGGTTGGGGATACCGGGAAGCGTGTGGCCTGGTCCCTGGCATGTTCTCTTCTCTGTTCGCCGAACATTTGTTCATTATTTATTGCAGAACGCACCGTGCCAGATGCCTCCCGGGGAGGCGAGAAGGCAGTGCGTGGGGCCGGACTTGGTACCCACACATTATTTACCCGATACAGTCAGGTACCCCAGGGGAGACTTGCCAGTGCTCCTTGAGGCACTGGAGAATCACGGCTCTTTGGTACCTTTGGGACATGCGGGGGGCTGGGGCCTGGGGGAGAACTGGGCCACGCCAGCCCACGGCTCACCCTCTCATCCCTGTGGCCGCTGGCCCGCCTGCAAGCTTATTTCACGATCAACCAAATGAAAACCAGCAGGCAGAGCAGCATGGGCAGGTCGACGCCGACCCGAAGTCCCGCGCCCCTCTCCAACCAAAAATCGCAGTGCTTGACTGAGCAGAGCTCCCTGATCAGCCGCCACAGGACCCGCTGGTACAGCTTGTTGTCCTGTTTCTCACGGGACAGCTCCTCCGGGTTGGCCAACAGCGTGGCGTTGATGCAGTCGCTCACAAACTTCTCCTTGGTCACGTTGGCCTCCGAGCAGCCGTTGTAGTGGACCCCGTCGGGGAACTGCCAGTAGTTGGCCTCGTAGTACCTGTTGCCCTCAGCTCCCAGGTCGATATCCAGCTTCCGGCCTTGCCTGATGAACGCCCCGGGGCGGATCTCTGCCTCGTGCGCCTCCGTGACCTGGGAGGTACTGGGCAAGGCCTTCCTATTCCACTTGATTCTGTGCTTTATGCCTCTCGCCTTGACCGCCGACAGCTGGCTGAACAGCAGGACACAGACGATGGCCAACCAGCATCTGCCCAGATGTTTCCCCATTGTGTCGGGATCTGCAAGAGCAAAGGCCTGGGCAGTTACCTTCCCCCAGGGGGGTGGGAGGTTCCCGGGTTCCCCTGCCCCTCTCCCGTGTGCGGACGATTTTAAGCAAGGAATGCATCCTTGCGCCCTTCACGTTTTCCAAAAAGCGGAATAGTTTTCCCCGTGCTCGGGTTGCACAGGCTAAGTCAATACCCAGGTTCTTGCTTTTGCCTGGAATTACATGCATTCAGGGTGGAGATCTGGTTTTCTCCCACAGATAAGACGCTACAACTGGCAATTAGAAAGCCTTTGAATATGCATGGGAAAATAAGCGAGTAATGACATAATACATATAGGTTTTCTTTGGGGCTCCCGTCTTTCCAGTCAGAGGATCTCTGGAGGAAAATACACAGAAGAGTTGGAACCACAGGCTTCTGAGCACAGACTGTATTGTTCATCTTCCCTCTTTATTCTATTCCTCTAAGCTGGCTCTGTTCTCTGGCACATTCTGCCATCTATTCTAAGAAAGCCCCAAAGGGCTTTAGGGTAATGATGGAGAGAGAGATGGAAGCGTGGCCAAGAGACCCCTGCCTCCTTCTGCATCAGGGGGTCAAGATGTGCTATAGAGGTGGCTCCCAGCCTCGCCCTGGGGACAGTGTGACCCCCCACTTCCCCTCACCCAGCACTTACTATGCATCAGCCACTGGCATTGACTGACTTAATTCTCACATGGGGTGGTGCATTATTATTCCCATCTGATAAAAGTTGTCCTGTGGGGTGCCTGGATGGCTCTGCCATCAGGTCATGATCCCAGGGCCCCCACATAGGTATCTCTGCTCAGCGGGGAGTCTGCTTCTCTCTCTGTCCCTCCCCCCTGCTCGTGCGCTCTCTCTCTCTCAAATAAATAAATAAAATCTTAAAAAAAAAAGTTGTCCTGGGATTCAGAGTAGGTAAGTGATTTGCCCAAGCCTGCACAATAGCAGGTGGCAGATTTGAATCCAGTCTGTCTGACTTTGTTCCCATGTGCCCACTTGCCATGTCCCATGGCCCTTCTGTGTTGCAGGAGGGGACGGTGCCCGCGTTTTGTGCTTTTGACTCGCTGGGCATGAAGGGCAGCACCGATGGGCCCTAAGCTGAGCAAAGAGCAGGGTCCGTGAGGAATTCCGGAGGAGATGGGATGCTGGGGAGGATCGGAGGGCCTGGGGGAGCACTCCGAAGGGCTGCTGATGACATCAGGGGATATCCCCCCTTCCCCACCGCCCCCCAGTCCGGTAGTTTGTCCCATCTGGCTCCTGAAACTTACAATAGCTATTGTGGAAGTCTACTTCCCAAGGTCAACTGTTCCGGGCATCCCAGCACCTGGACCGTTGTCGGCGTGGATGAGAAACCCCGGAATGGTTACAAAAGCCAAGCGTGCTCAGGCTGTGTCCTAGACGAAGTTCTATTGTGCCGGAGCTGGAGGAGGTTCAAAAGTCAGCTTGCTTAGCCCCTAACACACCTTCCCTGCAGGATTCCCAAAGTGATAGGTCAATCTCTGTTAAAATGTTCAGCTGGAGTGTGACTCTGGTCCTTATGTAGGAAAAAAGGCAAAATGCAACCTCCGTGCATGTCCAGTCCCACCTCTGGATGCCCGCGAAGCGGCTTCTGCTGACCTTTCTTTGCCTGTAGGTGTGGTCTAGTCTCTGGCTCAGGGAGGGCATGAGTGTGCCCGGCAGCAGCCTGAGAACCTACTTTTCTGGCACCTTACCCCCCCACCGCCCCCTAAGCACAGTGACCTCAGACCAGCTTTCTCCAAAGAGATCCAAGCATGAAGCCAACGTTCATTAATCTCCTAAATAGGGGGCCACACCCCATGCCATCGGCCCATACTCTTTTGGTAGGAGAAATGTTAAATAAGAATAATAACACAAATTACAGGTGTGTCAAGTTAAAAAAAAAGTATAGAGATCTTGAGAAAGTAGTCTTCATAGACAAGGGCTTAAAAGCAGAAGAAAATCCCAACCAGCCAACCCTAAAGTAGCATTTTATTGCAAGCACCAAAACCAGACATGCAACACAGTGATGCCCCAACAGGCTCATGTGTCCCCTTACTCGGGACACCCCCCAGGAGATGGGAGACAAGAAACCACTGTACGGTTTGCAGTCTGATTAGAAATGAGCAACCCTCACCACAGAAACGGAATCCAGCGCGAACTCTGCCTCCCCACATACCTCGGGCTCTCTCTGGAAGCTTGCCTCTGGAACCTCAGCAGCACTGTCCTCCAGCACTGCCCTCCCCCGTATGTAGGAGCTGCAGGGGGAGGCGGCATTCCTATTGCTCTCCAAATATGGCAGCCCTCCTCGCTGGGCACGACCAATCAGGGGTTCCCAGGCACTCCTCTGCCTTGAGGATAGACCGCATAACTCTTCACTAATAAACACTGTGTGAAGATCTTGATGAAGTTCAGAGGGACTTGAGAGTTGCCTTTGATTTTCCTTTCTTTTCTTTTATGTATGGATGTGTTCATCTACTTATTTACTTACTATTAACCAGTTTATCACAAAGGACATTACAAAGGAAACAGATGAACAGCCAGATGAAGAAGTACATAAGGCAAGGTCTGGAGGGTTCTAACTGCAGGAGTCCTCATGGAGTCTGGGGCACGGCCTCCCCCAATGTTGATGAGTTCACCAACTTGGAAGTTCTCCGAACCCCTCTGTGCCAGTAACTGGGGACACAAACCAAATACTCTAACAAAAGATACTCCTATCACCCCTATCACTCAGGAATTCACAAGGTTTTAGAAGCTCTGTGCCAGACACTGGGGACGTTATTATACCACAATGTCACAGCTGGACAGATGGATGGAGACATCTGCCAGAGTCTGGTTAGGTCTATTTTTAAGACTGGATTTCGAGAGGTGCCTTGTAGAGCTGAAATGAGCAGTGTTAGAAGGAAAACCTTTCCCATCCGTATCTGCAACAGAGGGTTGTTGCCGGGTATGCATGCCGTCCTGCACCTGAAGACCAGCCTTGGCCAGCAAAGGGGTTTTGGCCAGGCAGCCTCTGTGGGAAGGGTCTGGTCCAGAAAAGGGTGGGAGAGCAGCTGGGCCACACTGCCCCCTCCCAGCGGGGACCCCCAGGGAGCGAGGTACCACACTTCCTTTGGGGCGGTGGAAAAGCAGGGTTCATGTTGGATAGAGGGACACATAAGAGGCTTGGCCAGCACTTTAAGCTGTTGAGCATCCAGGAAGGCTTGAGCTACTGAATTAGTCCAAGGCCAAGAAGTTAAGGTCTACAGAAACCCACGGGACAGATGCAGATGGAGGTGAAACGGACAGGGTTCAAACATGGTGGGGGCGGGGAGTGAGTTTCCTCCGACAGGTGGGGAGGGGAGCTGGAGAACGAGCTTCTCCTGGCAGGAGGGACTGCACTCCCTTATTGGGCGACTGGTCCTTGTACAGAAGGGACGTACTTAGGTGTCTCTGCTCCAGTTATTACTGCAATGCGAAATCAAAAGTGATTTCTGGAGGAAAGTACGGAGTGAGATTAGCCTGTAAATGGAATGTGATCTTTATCCTGATTGTGAACCAGCGATGTTGGCGGGATTCACTTCAAGGCCCTTTCGTGAGCCAAGCTGAAGCGGTCGCTCCCAGAACGACCAGCAGATGGCGCCATGAGTTCACAAAGACCTCGCACCCTGGAGGTGGGGAATCCCCCCGCCCCCTTCGCTAACTCCTGTAGGGATTTGGGGCCTCCAGTTGGGCCTTTCTGTCTCCTCTGCCTTTAATTTTAAAATTTATTGCATTTCCTTTTTTTAAAAAAACTTTTTCATTTTCTTCCTAGAATCAGAGAATTTTTGGTCCTGTGAATACACACACACACACACACACACACACTTTGGTAGTGCACGCTCCCTATAAACTATTTGCAAAATGCAGAAGAAAACAGAAAACAAAAACCACCTTAATATTTCGCTATCCAGAGACAAGTGTCAGTACAAGTGTCTTAATTAGGATTGGGGGTGTTTAGAACTGGAAAGGGCTCAGAATCCTCTAGTTCAGCTCCTTAGCACCATGAAGTCATGGGGCCAGATAGGCCCAAGGTCACCCAGCCAGGCAGACCATGCTGCCCCCTCCCCCCCCGCCCCCTGGTGCGGGCCCATTGCCCTGTTCTGAACTCTGTGTACTGTCCGCCCTGCCCGTCCACATGTGGTGTGAGCACCTCCAGGCCCCTACATCCTTCCTCCTTCTATTCTCTTGCTGAGGAGGACTTGGCCCAGAAGGTGGTGGGAGGTTGGTGCAGAGCTGATGAGCCTGCAGATTCCTCTTGGCAGCGAACAAAGAGGCACAGAGGAGCATGGAAGCCTGTGGAAATGTTCGAGAAGACGGGAGGAGCTCTGGAAGCTGCAAACAAGGCAAGAAAACTGTTACCCAGCTGCAGAGAGTGCAGAACTAGTTGCCCCCATCCTGCTTGGCACCTGCTCCCCGCCTACAAACATGAACCAACAAACAGCCAAGGAATTAGGGAGAGAGCTGAGGGGCCGGGGCTGAGTGAATCGTATGTTCTGGCATTGACAGTTACAGGAGGAATATCATTGAGTGTGGGTCATCATTGATTAAACAGGGAGAACGAGACTGATCCCACAGGGCTGGGTGCTCCATGATGCAAGGGAAGGGACTCTGGAGGGATTCTCTAGAATGGATGAGCGGTAGAAAATTATGTGAATAAAAAAAAAAATTGGCAGGGAAAGGCTGAGGTCTAGACTGCCTGAGTGGGTCATTATTATTTCAGTTCCTAGTTTGATTAGATCTGGGACCTTTGGAGAGCATTTATAAATACAGTGGTCATTAGGAGACAAGATGCCATGCCGAACTGCTCCCAGAAGGGTTAGTGTGTAGGAAGATCACCCACGGTATCTTGGCTTCCCGAAGATTTATCGAGTGTCTGTCATGTGTTTGGACGAGGCTGTGCCAAAGGAGGGACAGTATACACATGGGTAAGGCAGCTAAGGCTGCTCATGGCCTTCTGGTAGAGAAATAATAGAACTGTGTTTTGGAAAATAATACTTACAAGATAGTTGGGTAGCAGTCTAAATAGCCGTACTCAATTTCTTTCTTTTTAGTGAAGTCTACTATTCACAGGAAGCTGAATATATCCTGAGGTTACAGAATTATGCATTGTTACAAACTGAACGCACCCATGTAACCTGCACCCAGAATAAGAAATCAAACAAGGACAGCATGCTCAAAGCCTCTTTGTCTCCCCATTGTGTCACTGCCCTCTCGCCTGGCTCCCGACACCCTTGCTTAGCTTTGCCTGTTCGTACTTCATAGAAATAGAATTATGTAGACCATACTCTTTTGTGTCTGTCTTGCTCAAACTGGGTCGTGTAGATTCACCCACATTGTGCGTAGCTGTCAATGGTTCATTTCATCGTGAGACGGCTCCACGATTTTCTTCTCTGTTCCCCTCATGGTGGGCATTTGGGTGGTGTCTGGTTTGGACGGCCGTGAACATTCTGACATGTGCCTCTTAGTGGATTGTGAACCCTGTTCTGTCAGATGTACACTCTCAGGGGAGACTTGCTGGGTCATAGAACATGTTCAGCTTTTATATTCTTAGAATTTGGATTATTACTTTGCACAAATTTTATTTTATTTTATTTTAAAAAAGATTTTATTTATTTATTTATTTGGGAGAGAGAAACAGCATGAATGGGGAGAGGATCAGAGGGAGAAGCAGGTTCCCCTCTGAGCTGGGAGCCCGATGTGGGACTTGATCCCAGGACTCCAGGATCATGACCAGAGCCGAAGGCAGTCGCTTAACCAACGGAGCCACCCAGGTGCCCTACTTTGCACAAATTTTAAATACCACCTTCCTCTCTAGCTCGTCCATTCTTTTCTTAAGCGCAGTCAGGGGCCTTCCTTTGGGGCGTCCCAGAGCACTAGACACATGGCCAAATACTTGTGCGGGGCGCCCTTGCTGTTCATATGTTCATTTGAGCTCACAGAAGTCAAAGAACCACGTTCCACTTGCCCCACACATAGCACAGTGCCTAGAATCTAGCAGCAACTAAATTCCCTTTATCCCTTCTTATCTGTGACTTGGTCGAGGATGGTATTGTCAGAGCTGAGCCCGGATCACAGCTGTCAGGGTGGGCACAGGTGGGCTGTGTGCCAGGGGGGCAGGCCAAACCCTCCAAATCGCAGCAGGGCATGATATATAGAGGCACCAAGAGGGAATTTAACAGGGATAAAGGCAGCAGTTTTAGAATTAGTTTGTAAAATATCAAGGGCAGCATGTGAAAACCTAGCATGTGACGGTAGTCGAAATTCCACTGGGGTACGATTGTCTAGAGGTGTCACGGGAGGCCACAGAGGAAGCAAATGCTTCTCTCATCCAAGGGCCATTTCCCCTACAGTTCCGTGCCCTTCCCTGCTCAGACCACAGCAGGTGCCGGGTGCTGGTCTGTGCGGAGCTGACGCAGGGCAGGGAGGTGTGATGATGCGGGCAGGGGGTGGGTGTGATGGGAGGGGGTGTGTAAGGGTTGGGAGGTGGGGAATCTCGTGGCATACCGGCGACCACTGAAGGTAGTTACTCATCTTGTGTCCCCAAATGTTCGTGGAATAGGATGTTTGTAAATGAGAAGATAGACAGCCACCAAAGCTCTAGGTCACAGGTAACAGGGTGAAGGCTGTGTTTTAAGGTGGTCTGGAAAGGGGCACCCAAAGAAAGGGGAGAAACTCCAGCCTGGAGACCCCAAGAAGGGCAGAGAGTGCCAGCCCCGGCCACCAGGTTGAAGTTCCTCACTTGGCCGCCCACCACTTTTCTCACTTGTCTCTGATGGTTTTTTAAGAAGAATAATTAACCGGATATAATTTGATGTGCAGTTTGTCCTCTCTTCCTGACAGGCAGGAAAATGTCCAAAAGGAGAAAGGCCGGCCCCAGGGTGAGGTTATCTGGAACAGGTAAAAGGGGCTGGCTAATGTGGGGGTGCCTGGCTGGCAGAGCTGGCTGAGTATCTGAATCTTGCTTTCAGTTTAGGTCATGATGTCAGGGTCATAGGATTGAGCCCTGAGTCGGGCTCCACACTCAGCATGGAGTCTGCTTAGGGACTCTCTCCTCCACTCTCTCTCTAAGATGGATAGATAAATCTTTAAAAGAAGGAAGGAAGGAAGGAAGGAAGGAAGGAAGAGGTTAGCTATTGTGTCAGAACAGAGACCCCTTTTTTTACCCAGGGTGGTTTTCATTCTCAGGGGAGGCCCTGGAGATA